GATTTTGGAGCAAGGCGCTGCAGTTGCTCTTCACCGGCTGCACAACCTAGAACAGGGGTGTCAAACTCACACGGGGCCGAAATGAAAATCTGGGACGGAGTCGAGGGCCAAACTTCATATTTTTTGAAAAAGTGACGGCAAATTTTCACATTTTCTTTATCAACATTTATGCAATTTTGAACCTTTAAATTTGGAAACAAACTTATTTCTGCATTAACACTGAATGTGGAATAACCAAATTACACACAAGCAAGTCAGTTTTAAATAAATTGCATCAGTGGTATTCATTACTTGTGGTATAATCAGCATTTAATAAATCTATTCAGGATTTATGTTTTCTTGTTTATTCATTTTTCTTATTTTTTTTATTCTCCCTTTTTTCTCCTGTAATACGTGTCATCGCTGCTGTGACGTCTAGCTTTCCCCACTGAGGAACAATAAAGGGATTTTCTATTCTATTCATCTATCTGCAGCCTTTCCACTTCCTGTTTACTGTAGGTTAAATCTTTTCTCACGGGCCAACAACAAAATAAAATATCATTTTATCTTAAATGAAAATGCAACATCTCACCTGTTAACTTTCATGTTTTGGAGCAGAAAAAGAGCATAAAACCAACATATTTAAAGCTCAGTTTGCTCCACTGGTTTACTGTGATGCTCACCTGTTCCAGCCAGATACCTGCATCATGGGGTTGATCTGAGCTGAGGAGGAGACTCCTGTTGTTTTGTTCATCTTCATCATAATAATGACAACATTAGATGACAACAGGTGCTCACATAGGTTTGTGCTGATGAACATGTCTGAGCAGCTTGACCACGTCGTTGTGTGTCAGGGAGGAAACATAACAACGACAGCAACCACAGAGTCGTGCTGGTTTCAGTGTGTCGCTGCTCGCTGGAGTTATATCAGCTCTGTCTGGACGTTAGCTGGAAAACTTTCTCTTTCAGTCGTGAACACATTACTGAGCGGTTAAAATCTCCGTTTCTGGGCTTCAATGTCGGAAAATAGCTGAGTAAACTCGGCGCTGAGTGAGAGGAGTGTTAAGTTTGTCTGAGACAGCGGAGCTTCAGACACCAGCAGCAGATGCTGGAAAAAAACACAAAGGAGGGGGCGCTTCGGCTCCGCGCTCACTCCGCAAAGCATAATGGGAGTTGTAGTCTTTGCGGTAAAATCAGCCAGTGGGTCAGTTTTAATAAATTTTTGACATTTATCTCGCGGGCCACATAAAAATGCTCCGCGGGTCTTGTGTCTGACACATGTGACCTAGGGGATGACGGGAAACGCCTGGCTCTCACCTGATCTAAGATCTGATTGGTTCATATTCTGATCCAAACATCCGGTGCTAGAACATGAAATGTTAGTTGGTCACATGTATTCTTTAAATCATGTAACATTGATGATGACAACTAGGGCTGCTCAATTAATCGAATTTTAGTCACGATTACGATCTGAGTTTTGAACGATTATAAAAACAAAACAAGCCGATTATTTGCTCCTCCCACTTGCGCTGCCCTGAGTTGCAAATGAAGCGCTCCTCCAGTGTTGCCAACGTAGCGACTTTGACGCTATTTCTAACGGGTTTTCAGACCCCCTTCCTGACTTTTAAATCTTAAAAGTACCTAGCGAACACGTCAGAAACATCTCTTTCTGGATAACTGTCGTTGACATTTCCTGCAGGTTAGCTAAACACTCCCACCTGCACTCCGGACCGTTCTTCAGGACATTAGGAAAGGGAATGATGTAGTGATGTGTCAGTCGCTACAACCAGAGTGAGTGACACACACTGTACCTGCGGGCTCCTGAGCCACTAAAAACAGCTAAATGTGCGCGTGCGGCTTGCTAAACACACGTGCAGCTTGCCCCTATTGCTGAGACCGGGTTGGGGGGTGGGGGGTGCAGCTGTGGTTTGGACAATTATTACATTAACTTAGGGCTGGGCGATATGGACCAAAACTTATATCTCGATATCTTTAAGCTGAATTCCGATATACGATATATATCTCGATATTTTTCATCCTGTAAACTGTTGACAAGTTAACTCACTTCAAGCTCTTGAGAAATTATATACATAAATCAGTAGGTTAAATGCATAAAAATGTATTTATTCTTGTCAAACTTTAACCGTAGTGCTTATTCTCTACCAGTCTGAGCTTTAGTAACACAGGTACAGCTGTCTGCTAACACACACACACACACACACACACACACACACACACACACACACACACACACACACACACACACACACACACACACACACACACACACACACACACACAGTTGAGAGTCAGAGGTGTATCAAATGTCCCACAGGCACTTTTTAATTATATATTTATAATTAATGTCAAATTATTTAAATTTCATCTAGAGGTGGCCCATATTGTATAGGTCTTGTCCAGAGAAAAAAAATCCATCATGTTAAGCTAAATGTACGATGATGTAATTGCATCTACTGAAGATCACATGGCTCATGCACCATGGAGTTATTAGTTATTAGAAAAACTAGTTATTAACTAGTTGTTAGTTATTAGTTAGCAGTGTTGGCTCATATCAGCGATTATACTGTAATGATTCAGAGTCTCTGGTTGCTCTTTTATGAGTGTTATTTTCGGGCTACTGTCGCCATAACCCACACCTTACAAACTCAACTTTTTCATCAGAATCGCTCGTAACGGAGTATTTACTAGCACAGCAAACCAGAGCGGAAGAAAACAGAACCGGAACAACATTTCTCACCCGTTGAGTTCGCCTTCAAAATAAAACGGTAACCCTATAGTTTACTATTCCAACCCTTACAATATGTTTCAGGTCATTTGGCCACTCCGGCTTTCCGTAGCCGTTTCCTCATTACACAGGGGAGGGAGGGGTTTGGCTCGTCTCTCCGCACAAGCAGGAAGGAAAACAGAACTCCGTTGGCATTGAACGTCCCCAAATAATTAAAAACCAGGAGGCCAAATGCAAAGTTTAGAGCAGCACATTTATCCAGAGGCTCTCAGACTGAGCAAACTTTTGAGAATACACGTAATAGCCGCTTAGAGACGGAGCAACATGTCACTAGCATAGCGGCTAATCGCTAGCATAGCAGTTTGGCCAGTTATATTGATATAAAGATATAAAGTAATCTTATATCTTGTTTAAAAATTATACCGATATTTAAAGAATATCGATATATTGCCCAGCCCTACATTAACTGATGGACGACTTTTAAATAAATAGTTTATAAATAAGGTAGAAATAAGTTCCTCACGCTGATAACTAATAACTAATCTCTCTGAGGACACGGTGCTAGTGTACTCTCCTACAGCACCTTGACACGACTCAATAAATGTTATGCAACATTTTGTGAACATCAATTTATTTGCATTTATTTGTTATAAATGCCACTGTATAATTCTTGCTGTCAGTATTTGCAAGATATTGGTATTTGGGTCTGTACTGGTTAGACTCAAATGAGTTAAACCAAGGTCTATAGCCCTTGGGTCATAGACTATGAGCTATAAGTATATTGGTCTTTTTATACTGGGAATCAGGAGTTAAATTGTCCTAAATGATTGTGATCTCAATTTCAATCACAATAATTCATTTCATTTCATTATTTTTGCCATAATCGAGCAGCCCAAATGACAACTATATAGGCCATGAAGAGAAATGTGATTTGTGTTCTTTTGTCATGTTTCCTATGAGCACACTAAAGCTACAGCTGATAACCTTTAGTTATTATTACAGTCATATCTTCATATACAATATATGATATCCACAAGCACGTGAGGATGTGTTTCGGTTGCTAACAAGCACCAAAATTAAAATTACAAATTAAACTAGTATGAACTCTAACGCGATATCTTCATCCATCGTCACCCGCGAGCTACATGTTTCAGCCACTCCCCCTGCTGTGTCCGCCTGCTCTTGTCTGTTTTCCAGGTGAGGCGCTGTTCAACTTGAACAAGGCCACAGTCTCACAATGACATTGTGACATCATAATGTACTAGGGGTTGCATGACTTAATTTTTTTAAAGGTGACTGACAAGTAATGAAAATCGAGTTGACTTCGACTAGTCGTTGATGCCGTCACACACTTGAAGCGGCTAAAACTGACGTTGGGTGACTAAGCGTGTTTTTCGGGGGGGGGGGGGGGGTTCGCTGAAGTTTTTGGCAATTAAAATTGCACCCACATTTTCTAAGTTAAAGAGCAAGTCACCCCCTGCAAGAAACTTACTCCACTCCCACTTCATATTTGAAAAATGCAACAAGTGCTGTTGCCTGGCAGACCGAGAGGGCGGAGCCACTAACAAATACACACACACACACACAAGCTCACAACGGCATTGTGACATCATAATGTACCAGTTTACATCATAGCATACCTCTTAGCCAATAGCGGTGGCAGATTTAAATTCAAATACAGTGCAGCGTTTTTACCTGACGACGGCGCAACACTGACAGTTTTAGGCAGAAAATTTAAATTTTAACTAAGATGTACTGAAGTGCCAAATTATTGTTTACACGTGTCTGCAGCACGATTAGACACTCGTTTATTTAGTTTATCAGCAAAAAAAAGTTTATTTGGAGTGACTTGCTCTTTAAACACATTTCTTTTAACAACGGTAGTTTCTACATCTTGCTTCAGCCCTCTCCCCCCTCCCCCTACACAGCGGCCGCAAACTCACCCCTGCACCTGCAACCTCTCAAAGAGTTCCTGCTGCTCTAAACATTAAAATAATCATTTAATTTTCTTTCCTTCAATGGTGTCTATTTGTTGAAATAGCTTTCAAAGCCCTATTCAGGGACCCATGATGTAACCAGAAGGGGAGGAGACTGGCTCACTATTGTAGCCCCGAACAGTCCCTGCGTGTTCTAAATAAATTTTTAACCCCTTTTAATGCTCACCCTATTGAAACAACATCATTAAACAGTTCACTGGAAGTATTTGATGCTCATTTACCACACATAAATTTTTCATTTCAGATGATTTGTCAACTCAAACCCTTCCTGTTTCCAGGCACTGAAATACCAGGCTTTGTTAGACGACCTCCATCAGAAACAGCTGCAGGTCCGGCTTTCTGAGCTTTATCTTAATGAACAAGACATCAATGCCATTGTGGACAAGCTGAGGGAGAGGCAGCACCAAGCAGCAGCCAGGAACACTGATTTGGTTTCCTGGGAGCAAATGGTCAAAGTCCACAAGAAGGAGCACGGGCGTTTGAGCAGGGAGCTGCAGCTCCTGGAGAAAGAGATCCGGTGTGTTTCATTTCATATGTGATTAGAAATTTAACAGCTTTTCAATGTTAAACTAAACATGTTTTATTGATAGTTTGTTATGAAGCAGACTGAATGGATCTTGTATAAATCTGTCAAAGTGGTCAGGAACAGCTGCTCTCCCAGTCTCGCTCCCAGTTCATCAAAGCCAAAGTGAACACCTCTCATCGCATAAAAAAAGTCGAAGGCATCCGTGACGCAGCAAAGAAGAGCCAGAAGTTGCTGGCTGTTAAAAAGCAGGAAGTAGAGGAGCATCGCCAGAGGATAGCTGAACTTCGGAGAACTTGGAAAAACTCTGAGAAACCGGTTATGGAAGAAAAGGGGAGAGACATTGAGCTGGACAAGGATCAGGTAATGTCTCTTAATTTATAAAACCCCACACTTCAATCTGCGATGTAGGAGTTTATTGGTCAAGCTTTCGGTCAGAGACCTTCCATCAGGAATTGTGGAGGTTCACACCAAACAATCCTTAAACAGGTCATATGATTTAAAACACCTGTGTGGTTGAATATAACAAAGTATCATGGGAAATGTAGGCTGTGTTTGAGATGAGCCAGTTCTGCGCAGATTAGATCAGCGGTGATTGGCGAAAAACAACAAGGCTGCTCAAACAGAGGATCAGTGAACACGAGTTCAATTAGGAGAAAAGACTTGACCTATCCAGTAGCACGCCATTTCAATGACTTTTCACACCCAGTGTCTTCACTCAGATTCCAGGGGATTGAACATATTTCACTACATAGAGGAGGTGATATACATTAAAAAAAACTCTGCCAAGGGGAACAATTCTGGATTTACACGTTGAAAACACTTCAACCACTAGGTTTAAATGAGGACTTTGAGATGTCTGTTTCTTTAAAGATAGCATACACTGCTGTGTTTTTATACTTCTCTGCCTTGCTGTATGACGACTTTTTTAGCTTGATGTTTGCAATGTACAAACCTCTCACTTCCTGAGCTGATTTAGAATGTTTTTAATGTTAAGTGGAATGTTTTCATTGTCTAAGACTACATTTCCCATGATACTTTGCTATATTCAGCCACACAGGTGTTTTAATTCAAATGACCTGTTTAACTAAGGATTGTTTGGTGTGAACCTTCACAATTCCTGATGAAGGTCTCTGACCGAAAGCTTGACCAATAAACTCCTACATCGCAGATTGAAGTGCGGATTCCTGTTTTGTTTGTTCCACTTTTTGATCCAGCACATTTCCCAGACGAGCAGCGACTCCTACTCAATTTATAAAACCCCAAAATGAACTCCTGGTTTCACCCTAACTTTATTTATAGATAACAGAAACTGTGCTAAGATTCTGAAATGCCACAAAACCAGACATCAGCTGTTGGGAAGCAGCATTCCAAATGTTTTTGCACATCTGATAGCACTCTTTCTTTTTCATGGAAAGGGAGTGGCCTTGATGGTCTGTTCTCTAAATTTAATTTAAATAACATTTTTGGGAGGCAGCTTGAGTCAAGATCTAGCAGAAAATCCATCCATCCATTTTCATCCGCTTATCTGGTGTCAGACTTCCCTCTCCCCAGCCACTTGGGCTCAGCTCTCTCTTCACCATGACAGACCTGTACAACATCTGCATCACTGCAGACACAGCACCAATCCGCCTATTGATCTCATGCTCCATTTTTTTCCTCAGTCATGAACAAGACCCCAAGATAAAGTCATCCACTTGGGGCAGAACCTCATACCTGACTTGGAGAAGACATTCTACCCTTTTCTGACTCTTGGCCATGGCCTCAGATTTAGAGGAGCTGATTCTCATCCCAGCTACTGCACACTCGGCTGTGAATCGCTTCAGTGAGAGCTGAAGATGACGTTCTGATGAAGCCAACAGGACCACATCATCTGCAAAAAGCAGAGACCTGTTCCTTAGGCCACCAAAACAGATTCCCACAACACCTTGGCTTAGGGCTGCTCAATTAATCAAATTTTAATCACGATTACGATCTGAGTTTTGAACGATTATAAAAACAAAACAAGCCGATTATTTGCTCCTCCCACTTGCGCTGCCCTGAGTTGCAAATGAAGCGCTCCTCCCACAGTGGTGCCAACTTATCGACTTTGACGCTATTTCCAACAGCTTTTCAGACTCCCTTCCTGACTTTTTAAATCTTAAAAGTACCTAGCGAACACGTCAGAAACATCTCTGGTAGCCCTTAGCTACTTTCTGGATAACTGTCGTTGACATTTCCTGCAGGTTAGCTAAACACTCCGCCTGCGCTCCGGACCGTTCTTCAGGACATTAGGAAAGGGAATGATGTAGTGATGTGTCAGTCGCTAAAGAAAGAGCTCTCAGAGCCGGCTCCTTGTTGGATTAACCAGAGTGAGTGGCACACACCGTACCTGCGGGCTCCTGAGCCGCTAAAAATGGCTAAATGTGCGCGTGCGGCGTGCTAAACACGTGCAGCTTGCCCCGATTGCTGAGACCGGGTTGGGGGGTGGGGGGTGCAGCTGTGGTTGGGACAATTATTACATTAACTTGTGGACTTGTGAATAAATAGTTTATAAATAAGGTAGAAATAAGTTCCTCATGCTGATAACTAATAACTAATCTCTCTGAGGACACAGTGCTAGTGCACTCACCTACAGCACCTTGACACGACTCAATAAATGTTGTGCAACATTTTGTGAACATCAATTTATTTGCATTTATTTGTTATAAATGCCACTGTATAATTCTTGCTGTCAGTATTTGCAAGATATTGGTATTTGGGTCTGTACTGGTTAGACTTAAATGAGTTAAACCAAGATCTATAGCCCTTGGGTCATAGACTATGAGCTATAAGTATATTGGTCTTTTTATACTGGGAATCAGGAGTTATTTTAGTGATCATCTTGTTTCTTGTTTATTTTTGTCCTGATTGTGTCCCGAGCAATTTTATGACTGAAAAAAAACAAACAAATAAAATCAACATAAATTGAAAAATCGTCTTAAATAATCGAGATCTCAATTTCAGTCACAACAATCGTGATTATTATTTTTGCCATAATCGAGCAGCCCTACCTTGGCTGCACTTAGAAATCCTGTTCATAAAAGTTATGAACAGGATTGGTGACAAAACGCAGCCTTAGCGGACTCCCAACTCTCACTGGAAACAAACATGACTTACTGCCGGCAATGCAGACTAAGCTCTGACACTGGTCATATATAGACCTAACAGTCCATATCAGAGGGCCTGGTACTCCATACTCCTGAAGTACCCCCCACAGGTCCTCCCAAGAGACATGGTCGAATGCCTTCTCCAAATTCACAAAGCACATGTAGATTGATTGATCTCCCACGCACCCTCTAGGGCCCACTGAAAGGTAGTTTTCCAGGAGCACTGCTCAGAGTAACTTGGACCGATGCAGCTCAGCCCGACCACAGTTTCTGACGGCGCTTACACATTAGTGTCGGCAGGGCCCCAAGAGGTATCGAACGGCACCGGATTTAGGTTTCACACACAGGTCAGATTTGCTTTTTCAGTCCCGAGGCGACTCTTTTTGCCAGACCTTCTCCCCAGCGGTCAGACCGGGAACGAGGCGACACTAGGGACTGATTGGCTGGCTGAAATTACGCCTACTGCCTCCGATCTGCGAGAAGAATGAGCCAGTGGGGGGTTTCCCGCATACGTAATTCATTTCATTTTCATTCATTCATTGTCATGCTAGTTGCTGTTGAGTAAACTTCTGTCTGTAGCACAGAGCTGCCGTTCAGTATGGGATTGGAAGAAGAGAATAGATGTGTGTGTGTGTGTGTGTGTGTGTGTGTGCATGCGTGCGTGTGTGTGCGCGCTTCTGTTTTCATCGGAGTTCGTGCCTTGGCGAGCAGACAGCTGCTCAGGGAACAAATCAGTGTGCGTGGGTGTGTTTGTGTGTGTGTGTGTGTGTGTGTGTGTGTGTGTGTGTGTGTGTGTGTGTGTGTGTGTGTGTGTGTGTGTGTGTGTGTGTGTGTGTGGCACAAGATTATGAGGACACACACAGCAAATTAATAAAATAATGCAGTTCAGAGTCTCCAAAAGCAACACAGCTCATGTCCGCCTTTTGTTTACCTTATGGAGCAGACTTCCCCGCGTGTGTTGAGTGCCGTCCACAGGCTCGGGGATTTCCGCATTCCTGAGAAATCCCTCCGATTTATGTGAACACTACACCACCCGTTCGAGACCAAACTCACGCCATCCAGCCCGACCGTGCCGACGCTAATGTCTAAGGGCCATAATGGCACGATTTGGTATTTTCCCTCTACGTTCTTCCCTATATTTAGTCCCTGCACTGTTGAGGTACCTGGCAAGGCTGAGTCGGGCCGTCATCATGATCCTGGCCGCTGATTGGCTGAGGGGTGAAGTCAGTGGTTCCTCTAGAGTTTTCTGCTTTCTGTTTCACTGCCTGCAGCCATTTCCTGGTTCATGGTCTGACAAAAAGCCATAAAACTGAGTAAAATGTCTAACATCAACACCATGTTTGTGCTAAGGTGTGTTTCTGTGGAGCATACAGGTTTCCTTACATTGTTTACTCTTCACCTCATGGTATTTTTCTATGAGTAAAAATTGCACACAGCACTCAAACTATGCTGTACAGAACTGTTTCAGGCTGAGTAGTGTTCATGGAAAACTAACTTTAAGGTATAGGCTGGTCTAGTGTTCCACGGCCAGGACGAAAACCACATTGATCCTCCTGAATGGGAGGTTCGCCAATCCGCTGGACCCTCCTCTCCAGAACCCCTTAATAGACCTTATCAAGGAAACCCCCCGCAGTTGCAACACATCCTGCGATCCCCCTTTTAAACAGGGTGACCACCACACCGGTCGGCCAATCCATCGGAACTGCCCCCAATATCCACTTCCTTCCTTAATTACTTTGGATAGTGCTTTTACCTGTTCTTTTAGTCTTATTTGGTATGCATTTTTGTTTGATGGCTTATGCTATACCTTTTATGCATTTTAGCTAATTCCACAGTTTCACGTGATATTGTAGAGCCGCGACAGCCAACACAACCCTACAACATCCAGAGCTTTAAGCCTGGGGCACACACTTTTAAATAGAAGCCATCATAGTTAATGAGAGTTGGCACACGGGGAGCGCCACACCGCATCCCAGAAGCGCTGCGCCCAGGTGCTGAAGACACCTGTATCTCAAGTGCAGCTGTTTACGACGTTGTGGAGTACTTAACAACAGACATTACGACGCGGAACTGCTTTACGGCACAAACTCAAGTCGCAGTTTTGAAAACTTTAAAGTACTTTTGATCTTAAAATATTCTAATAAATAGCGTACTTACCCATTTTTAATGAATTAGAGTCTCACAAGACACGAGGGCAAGTCTGATCACAAATAAACAATAGAGTCACTTTCTGTTCTTAAGTCGCGTGTGATGTTGGTACTATCGCGTGACTTTCCAAGATGCGCTCAGCAGCACGGCACATCCGCCTCTGGTGTGCCTCAGGCTTTAAGGAACTCCAGGCAGATCTCATCCACCCCGGCGCTTTGCCATTGAGGCGCTTTTTGACCACCTCAGTGGACTGAGCCCCTCAGATTGGAGAGCCCAACCCAAAGTCCCCCAGACTTTGCTTCCTCGCTTAAAGATGTGCCAGTTGGATTGTTGTTATAACTACCAGAAAATAACAATGAAACTTTATATTCATGTAGTGAACATCAGGCATTTAGTAGGAAGCTTCAGAACACTAGTGTAAGATATTCATTTATCATTTCTATCCATTTTGTTACAGTTGGAGCGATACAGGGAGCTGAAGCAGTGGGCTCAGAAGGAGGGGGCGGTGCTCAACCAGCAGGCTGAGAAACTCCACTGGGAAGTGAGAGCAGATGGTGAAAAAATGGCTTTTGACCAGCGCAGAAAGAAGGAGTTGGAGGTACCGTTGACCTTTGCTAACCCTGTCTTTCCACTAGACATGTAAGTGTGATGTGATACTCATTTTACCCGCGAGCTCCCTTTCCACATGGGTCGTTTCAGACGCGAAACATAGGGTTGGGCATTGAGCATCGATTGGAACCGGTTCCAACTGTTCATTTTTCCCGGAATCGTTCATCTATCCATCCATCTGCTTATCCGGCGTCGGGTCGCGGGGGCAGTAGCCTAAGGCGAGAGGCCCAGACTTCCCTCTCCCCAGCCACTTGGGCCAGCTCCCCCGGGGGAATCCCAAGGCGTTCCCTGGCCAGGTGAGACACATAGTCCCTCCACCGTGTCCTGGGTCTACCTTTAGGTCTCCTCCCGGTTGGACGTGCCCAGAAAATCTCACCAGGGAGGCGTCCAGGAAGCATCCTGACCAGATGCCCGAGCCACCTCAACTGGCTTCTCTCGATGTGGAGGAGCACCGGGTCTACTCCGAGCCCCTCCCGAATGACCGAGCGTCTCACCCTATCTCTAAGGGAGAGCCCAGCCACTCTTCGGAGAAAACTCTTTTCGGCCGCTTGTATCCGTGATCTCATTCTTTCGGTCACTACCCAAAGCTCATGACCATAGGTGAGGGTAGGAACGTAGATCGACCAGTAAATCGAGAGCTTTGCCTTCTGACTCGGCTTATGACATGTCTCACCTTCATGTTAATGTTGTTTTATTTGATGTACTCCACTCTGAACTGCACCAATCCAGCAACTGCTGCATTTTAATAACTAGTATTAAAGGTGAATACACCAATATTTGCACAAGAATAATTTTTGTTTTAAACTCTCAGTGACACACTTTGCAGGGGGGTTGGCATTTAATTTTTCTTGGCGTCTGGAAAAACATCTCCTTCTGCCCCCTTTATTTTGGTCCAAGGTCATTACTGGGCTGGCCCCATTAAACACGTTCTACACCCCTGCTTAGCAGACTTAATGAAGTATTTTTAAGCCAGTATAAAAATGACTGAAACACAAATTTACATTTTTGGCATTATTGACCAATATCTTTGATTTAATTTATTTGTTAAGAACATCAAGATGCATTACAGTGAACATTATAATAAAGTACATGTTTCTAGTGCAGAGAGGAGACAACCCATAGAAGCACTGATTTGATCTCATTTCAGAGAAAAATAGAACAGGTCAGATGCACCTAATAAATAAAATTACTAATATAAACTCAGGAATCTGTTTCTTTGCTTCATTGTTCTGGTGCTGAAAACATCACTAATGCGGATCAAAGGACATACACAGATGAATCCACCTTATTATTTGGAAATCAGTGGGTGTGGTTTTCATCAATACATTATTTTAAATCTGAAATGGATATGGATTGATCAGAAGTTGCTATGTGTATTGTTTATTGCCTCAGAATTGAGATTAAATATGTTTGATCACAATAGTAAAGGAACTATTACAGAACAAGTTTTTCAGTAAAATCAGAACATGAATATTTAAGTGCATGAATTAATGCATCTGAACTCATGCAGTAGGAACTAGGAAATAATTTTAATTTTTTTTATTTTAATTTGATTAAACTGATTTTTTCCTAATGTTGTTGGCATTTTTCCCACACACAGTTAAACCAAACAATGTTGATTGAGGTGTGTTTGTGTGTGAGAGATAATTAAAATAATGATTAAAAAATAAATGACTGGAGCGGAGGCAGTGACCGACGCATGCAAGAGCCGTTTTCAGCTCTGTCTTGTCAAATGCACCACGCAAGTTACGAAAAAGTAACTTTAAATATTCAACCGAAAAACAGGCGAGTTGAAGAAAACCTAGGGAGCTCTGAAGAAACGTGAGCAACAGTGAAGCAAGCACAGACAGATCCGCTAGTGTGTGTGTGTGTGTGTGTGTGTGCGTGCGTGCGTGTGTGCGTGCATGGATGGGCCGGATGGACTGAGCTCCCGGCAGCAGTTTTGTGTGTAGGGAGGGGCGGGCGCTCTATGTGACTGGCCAATCACAGAGCGTGAAGACAGTCAGTGACAGTCAGTTACCCAATGAGGATTTTCCTTCAACACGATTATTACAGATATTTACGAGTTTTACTCGTTTCATGCTCGATTACAGATATTTACAAGTTTTACTCGTTTCATGCTCGATTACAGATATTTACGAGTTTTACTCGTTTCATGCTCGTATTCGTCAAAAATGCTTTATCCGTACCGGATACTCGTCAGAAAATGAGTATCCGGCTCATCCCTAGCTGTAACCACCCTGCCCTGCCTCCTCCTCCTTGCTGCCTGCCGGCTGTGATCACAAGCAACAACAGAGTAGTTCCCACTGCTTCTTCGGGAAACGGCGCAAAAAAAAAAATCTATTAAACTTGGGATCTTGTAGGTGTGGCGCTGGGATTTCGGCTACGCCTATGTAAGGGAAACACTGGACTGGTTGGGCAAATTCCCACACACCCTCCAGGATCCTCCTAAGGGTATAGAGCTGGTCCAGTGTTCCACGGCCAGGACGAAAACCACATTGTTCCTCCTGAATCTGAGGTTCAACTATCCGAGGGACCCTCCTCTCCTGAACCTCTGAACAGACCTTACCAGGAAGGCTCAGGAGTGTGATCCCATTGTAGTTGGAACACACCCTGTGGTCCCCCTTTTTAAATAAGGGGACCACCACCCCGGTCTGCCAGTCCAGTGGGACTAACCCCGATGTCCACGCGATATTGCAGAGCCGCGTCAGCCAACACAGCCCCACAACATCCAGAGCCTTGGGGAACTCCGGGCGGATTTCATCCACCCCTGGAGCCTTGCCACAGAGGAGCTTTTTAACCACCTCAGTGACCTCAGCACCAGAGATTTGAGAGGCCAACCCAAAGTCCCCAGACTCTGCTTCCTCACTGGAAGACATGTTGGTGGGATTGAGGAGGTCTTCGAAGTATTCTGCACACCGATCCACAACATCCTGAGTAGAGGTCAGCAGCACACCGTCCCCACTATAGATGGTGTTGGTAGCACACTGCTTTCTCCCCCTGAGGCGCCGGATGGTGTACCAGAATCTCCTCGAAGCTGTATGGAAGTCTTGCTCCATGGTCTTACCGAACTCCTCCCATGCCCGGGTTTTTGCCTTGGCGACCACCCGAGCCACTTTCCGCTTGGACTGCCAGTACCCGTCAGCTGCCTCTGGAGTCCCACTGGCCAAAAAGACCTGATAGGACTCTTTCTTCAGCTTGACAGCATCCCTAACCGCCTGTGTCCACCAGCGGGTTCAGGTGTTGCCACCACGACAGGCACAGATGATCCTGCGTTCACAGCTCTGGTCAGCCACCTCAACAATGGAGGCATGGAACAAGGTCCATTCAGACTCAATGTCCCCCGGAACATTTTGGAAGTTCTGTCAGAGGTGGCAATAGAGCTCCGGGAGTTGACGTCACGTTTCCCGGCATGCAACAGTTCAAATCGAAACGGCGCCATTTGGCAGGCAGAAGCCGGCAGCTGGACTATTTGTTATTGTCAGAAAACTCAATCAGACAGGAAATATGGTAGATTCCTGTTGTTCCCCAGGATGCAGAACAGACACAGACGACATAAGGAATGAACCATCTACTGGATTCCCCAAGATCCGGAGCGCCGCAAACGTTGGATCATTGTAATAAAACGTGCTAATGACCGGGCTAAAATGAAGCTGTGGGATCCCGAGAGTAAAGGATTTCGCTTATGCAGCGACCGCTTCATATCAGGTACTTAAACCAACGTTTCCTCAGCTGTGTATGGTATTTATTTTAAATGCTTTTATTACGATTCTTAGTGGGCTTCCTAAACTTATTTTGGCGTGGCTTTTTCTGTCTTATTACTCATAGCAGCAAGTAAACATCACGTAAAACGTTGCCTCGTGATTTCTGTGTGCTGCCGTTTACGTGTTTTATGATCACAGCAATTAACCGGCTAAGCTGTATTTAATTTTTAAGCAATGGTTGATCACTTGTCAGATAACACATAAAAAGCACTTTGGGTTGCTATTATCTGTCTCACCGAGACAGATCTCAGACAGATCCTGAGACGCTCCTGCCTGACATATTTATTTTATTCACGGAAAAAATCAGACTAGTGATTTAACTTGGCGTTCAGTTTATGCATTCAAACAGCACAGCACTCAATTTAAACTACTTACATGTAAATCTGTTATTTGTCCATCCATCCATCCATTTTCATCTGCTTATCCGGAGTCGGGTTGCGGGGGCTGTAGCGTCGAGAGTCCCAGACTTCCCTCTCCCCAGCCGCCGGAGCCAGCTCCTCCGGGTAAATTCCAAGGGGTTCCCCGGCCAGGTCCAGTAAGAAGTCCGCTCCGACAGCTTCTGGCGTCGGAGCGGGCAGTAGCGTCGAGAGTCCCAGACCTCTCCCCAGCTCCTCCGGCCGGGTGGAATCCCAAGGGGTTCCCCGGCCAGGTCCGGTAAGAAGTCCGCTCCGACAGCTTCTGGCGTTTTTAAAAAGTATCCCAGGGGCACGGTAAGGGTCGGAGATGTTTAGTCTATTTAATTTCTGACTATATAAAATGATTTCTTCGGTTTTAAAGTGTGAAGTAAACTCTGACGAAGTAAAATCTAAGCGGATCCCGTTCACGTTCATAGTTACATCCGTGTTTGTTTACCTTTTTTTCCCTGCCAAAATGGCGTCTACTAACTCAGAGTCACGTGGGGTCCGGAGCTCTATTGAAGCTCCTTCTGACAGGAGACTGCCAGACGTTCCCAGCAGACCCTCGCAATACGTTTGGGCCTGCCTGGTCTGACCGGCATCCTCCCCCACCATCTGAGCCAACTCACCACCAGGTAGTGGTCAGTTGACAGCTCCGCCCCTCTCTTCATCCGAGTGTCCAAGACACGCGGCCGCAGGTCAGATGAAATGACAACAAAGTCGATCATCGAGCTGTGGCCTAAGGTATCCTTGTTCCAAGAGCACATATGGACACCTTTATGTCTGAGCAGTATGTTCATTATGGACAATCCATGACTGGCACAGAAGTCCAATAACAAAACACCACTCGAAATCAGATCAGGGGGGCCGTTCCTCCCAACCACACCTCTCCAGGTCTCACTGTCGTTGCCCACGTGAGCGTTAAAGTCGCCCAGCAGAACGAGGGAGTCACTGGAAGGAGTGCTTTCCAGCACCCCCTCCAAGGTCTCCAAAAATGGTGGGTAGTCTGAACTGTAGATTTAACCCTGCAATTTCAGCTGTGAGGCAGTGCTACACCTGAGCCTATGGTGTTTGACTTCCTGTCCAACCTGATCTGAACTGGTGACGTGGTGAGTGTAAATGATGCGTCACTGCGTGACTAGGATACTTCCAAGTCTTTCTCGGCCAGTGAAAAAGCACACATCTAGTATAATGGCAGTGGCAGAATTTATGTGGAAGAGACGATTTTTACATAGAGGATCAGAGCATTGGGTGCGCGTATATTTATTACATAGAATTTTCCGGTTGGAAAGGTCCTATGTCCATGAATGAGGAGCTGATACTAGCAAATAGAGCTGGGCAATAAATTGAAAATGTATCGTTATCGAAGTTTCTCACTCTTATCAAGATATTTTTCCCATGTCAATAAATTTGATAATAAAAAAAAAATTATGTGTGTAGGTTGGCAACGCTCGTGTCCCTTTAAGATGCTGTACCACCTAAAAATATGACTCAACGAAATACATGTGATGGCCCCATCAAGTGGACAACTTTTGTTTCTGCACATACCTATAGTTATCGTCTATTTATCACGATAACTATCCACAATTTAGGCCATATCGCGCAGCCCTACTAGCAACACTGTCAGATGTTGAGTTACCTAGGAGGCAGTGGTGTAAACGAAGGGGTCCAGCTGAACATCGGGCCCAAACAGCATCCAAACGTGTATAGTACCGACTTGATCAGCGGTGGGTGGTATGTAAAAAGCAGTGACACAAATAATTAAAAGTAAGAAAATGAACTTTGAGGAAAATGTTACTGGCTCATGAGAAACTGAACATGAAAGTTTGAATTTTATATCTGTCGGTTTGTTTTAATGGACGTCCAAGCACTCTGTCTGTGTTTTTCAGTTGGTAAATGTGGTTTGTTTGTCTAGCACCCAACAGCACTCGGTGACGTCAGCTGTAGGACTCCCTATACTCTATTGGTGTGTAATACGCTTTGTGGATGTTATGCCACTCTTACACGTGTAGTGGAAAGGCCTGGTAATAGTGAGGCAGGCAGCGTAAAGATCTATTAAAAATAACCAATCATGTGTTTTTAAATTCATGTTTTTATGAAGTTTGCTATCAGGAACAGCCAGATTCACCTGGGAGAAATCACAAGTAAAGCAGAGAAACTAGATGCATACATCAAGATCTGCAAGTAGGTCACATACTTAAATTCTCACACAGTTTTGGTTTTCATTTAGTGACAAATGTGTGTTTTGTTGTGTAACACGAGTGTGTTGTATGACCCAGGTCCTCCCTGGATGACTACCATCAGAAAGAGGAGGGCCTGACTGCAGAACTTCAGCGTGTTTCTCAGCGAATGGAGGAGGTGAATCAGGAGCTGAGGCAGGTGGTGGAGGAGCTGGGCAATGCTCGTCTGGACAGCCACGAGAGCAAACGGCAGTTGAAACGCCGAGAGCTTCTGGAGAAGCTCTGCAGACTCTACCCAGACACTGTGGTGGGACAGAAGATACTATTTACTAAAGCCATCTCCTGAATTTCTGCATTTAAAATGTGTTTTAATGCCTGAGGTTTCAGATGATGCTAGTTTATGTTTTTGTTGTTTGCTCATAAAAAATTAGTTACAGTCTTTGAAAGCACATTTACACAAGGCATTATGGGTATTTGGATCCCATAAAACACTTTTTTCATTTATCCCATTCTTGAAATTTACATGTGTATGTGGATGGATTTTACTTTTCACATAAACAAAGATGATACTTAAGCTAAGTGTGTGTGTGTTCTGTCCCAGTATGGCCGACTGTCTAGTCTGTGCAGCCCGATCCATAAGAAGTACCAGCTGGCTGTCACCAAGGTGTTCGGTGGCAACATGAATGCTATCGTGGTGTCATCTGAAAAAGTGGCTCGCGAGTGCATCGTTTTCATTAAGGAGGAGCGGGCGGAGCCTGAGATGTTCCTACCTGTCGACTACTTGGTGGTGAGTTAAAATAATTTCTGGTGATTGACAGAAGCACGTCTGTCATTCCTGTCCATCATTACTTTGGACGCAGGTGAATCCTCTAAACGAACGACTGAGGGACATCCCTGGCGCCAAGATGGTGGTTGATGTTGTCCAAGTGAATGCCGGTTCAGCTGCTGCCCAGCTGAGAAAAGTGGTGCAGTATGTCTGTGGCAATGCCTTGGTTTGTGAAACCATGAAGGAGGCCAGGCGTATTGCCTTTGAAGGGGAAGATCGTGTTAGGGTGAAGTTTGTTTTAACTACACACCCCAGAATGAAGGAAGATGTTGAGATTTTTTTGCCAGCATGTGTGACGACTGGTTGTCCTTTCTGTAGACTGTAACCCTGGATGGAACACTCTTTAAAACATCAGGAGTGATCTCTGGAGGTTCCAGTGCTCTTCGGAGCAAAGCGCGCTGCTGGAATGAGCAGGACATGATGCATCTGAAGAAGCACAGGGAGGACCTGATGAAGGAGTTGCATGTGAGCTAATATAGCAAACACCACAAACTGGTTTCATTAACCGTGTTTTTGCATCACATGCTGAACTTTTTTCTTTACAGGATTACTTAAGTTCAGCCACGCTGAAGGTTTTCCAGCATGAACCGCCTGTTGCTGAGACTCTGCTCATCTTGTGCTTTTTGTGTTTGATAGGGTCTGATGAGGATGAGGAGAAAAGAATCAGACTTGAAAGAGGTGACTGCGCAGGCACAGGGGGCTCAGACCCGCTTGAAATACACCAAAATCGATTTGGAAAACCTGCAGAAGAAAACAATCCCTAAATGCCAGTCAGTAAGGTCACAGATCTCTGAAGATCTCATGTCCTAATTCTTAATACAAATACGTCACTTGGAGCCATAGAGTCACAATTCAGACCACAATGGCTGTAGATGTGCATGGTAACACGAAGAAAAAATGGCAGTTAATTGGAAACATTTCACTTTCGTTACTCTGTCTGTTCTGTCCTACTGATTTATTGCAGGAGATCTCTCGTATGGAGAGTGAATTAGCAAACCTTGATTATCAGATTCAGATGCAGCAGAAGAGTCTTGAGGGAAAGAATGAAGAGATGAAGAGAATCAGACACCAGATTGATCAGGTGCTGCTGTCTGCAGGACTGTCAGAATGCTTTACCACATTCTCAGCTGGACTACAGTTTTTGTCATTTATTGATTACATCAATTAAGAAACTCTGGGTATTTAACTGAAAATGCACTGTGTGTGTTTTAGATCGAGGACAAGGTGTTTTCTGGTTTCTGTGCTGAGATTGGAGTGGTCAACATCAGAGAGTATGAGCAGGGACACTTGAAAGAGCAGGCAGAGGTTGACAAAAAACGGTAAAACACACACACCAAAGTTTGCATGATTTAGCAAAATTTGAGGTGAGGCTTTGGATTTTTAGATTTTCTGTTCAGGCACAACTAATTTGACACCTCTGCCCTCAGGCTGGAGGTGGAGAATCATTGTGCTCGCCTGAATGCACAACTTGAATATGAAGAAAATCAGCTTGAGCAAGAAAGGAAGAAACTTTGCAAAATGGAGGAATCCATCAGTGAAGAGGAGAAAAACATGGCTATGCTCAAAGAGGTAATGTCCCCTTCATTCACTAAAGGTCCATTTATACTCAACAGTCAGGACTAAGCTAAAGTGAAAACTGAACAAACATTTTTTTGTTTTTGCACGGTTAGAGGATATCATAGCTGGGATGTTGCAGCATAACTTTCTCATAGTGATTCAATTACCCTAAACATAAGAGACGAGAAACCATTTACTCGGGGCTGGGCTTCAAAATAAAAACTTTGTTTTTTTTTACCTTTGTGTTTTGTTTGGTCATCAGTTGAGTGTTTCTGTTTTCCTGCAGGTTGAGAAGAAACTGTTAGAAGCTGTGGAGGATGGTCAGAACAAGCTAGAGGTCCTGAAGAACCAGCTGCTCTTCAAAAAAAGCCAGGTGTCTACAGGCAAAGCAGAGCTGGACCAGAAATCTCAAACTCTCGAGGAGATTAACAAGTAAATTTCAGTTTAATATGACTGCCATGGAACAAATTCAAATCCTGTGGGAAATATAGAGATACAAGTCGATGCTTGGAAAGAGACAGAATCTGACAAAAATTAAGTCAAGGACTGTCTAAAAAAACATTTTACAAAGTACCAAATGATGCTTATCACTCGAGGTTCAAGATCCAAGAAGCTTTTATTGTCTTTATTGACAATAAAATTGGTATAACATGAGAACAGCTTTCTCAACAACTGGGGATGCACTGAATATTTGGCCACCAAACATTTTTGGGCTAAAATGACACTAAAGTGCATCTTTGGTTTTCGCCTGGCTTTTTTAAAATTAGCTTTTATTTTATTGCTGCTACGTCTGTTACTATTAGCAGCGTTCTTACCATCCTTTCTACACCCACTAGACACGGTGAAATAAGCTTTGGATCATGTGTGTGAAGTGTGTTTACTCTCATGAAGCACACAGACTCTGTTGCTGTGCATAGCTTCAGCATCACTTTGTTTCTCACTGGATGAGTGAATATCTTCATCAAAGGGTATATGTTACTCTTCTGAATCAGAGACAGCCATTACCAGACAAAGAATGTAGTCAACAATAGGAGTTGTATGAACTAGTCGACTTCACCGCTCTATAGTGACTTGTTATGCCTGTCATCGACTTGTCGCTGTCACGTGATAATGACTGACAAGATGCAGTCCTGGAAAAGACAGCAGGTGATGAGCCCCAGCACGCCGGGAGGCAACGCGCTGTGCCAGAGCGTCGGTACTGACGCCCGCCATAAAACGGACATTTAACCAAATTGTGACGTCTACCCTCTTGCAATTTAACCTTCCCCTCACCCCCATCCTAACCTTAACCAGCATGCACATGCAAAGCTCTGATTGTTGACGCGCTCCAGACATCTGCGTCCTGAGCACGGCCACAGTAACATTATCAAATCAGGTGTCGCCACCTCAAAAACTAATTTAACACGTGATCGTTCATGTCGGCTCATTTCCTTTTATGTTTTCTGTCTTTTATTCTTTAATTTGTGCCTGATGCGTTTCGCTGCTGTGGATCGAGGCGCATCACCTGTTTTGTCCTCGGTGACGCACCGATCACTGATGTGGCCGGCGAGCACTCTGCTGTTTTAGCGGTCGGTAGATCTTTTAGAACTGCAGTTCAAAGGTAACTCATGAGGTGAATATATATGAACCCAGGTAGCAGTTTCTCTTTAGGATTGAGAGGAGATGCAGGAAGATAATAAACAGGCAGGACAGAAAAATAGTCAAATAAAAACAAGTTAGTTTTTGTACCTGGTGGTTGCAACAAACAGACACCACTGAAGGTAATCAGAAGTGAGGAACAGAAAATGAAATAATTATTTTAATGTTTAGAGCAGCAGGAACTCCGAGAGGCTGCAGGCGCATCAGTGAGTTTGCGGCCGCTGCACAAGGGGGGGGGGGGGGGGGGGCTGAAGCAGAAACTACCGTTGTTAAAAGAAATGTGTTTGACTTTGAAAATGTGGGCGCAATTTTAATTGTCAAAAACTCCAGTGAACCAACCCCCATCCACCCCGCACCACTTCAGGTGTATGATGTCATCAACGACTAGTCAAAGTCGACTCGATTTTCATTACTTGACTGTCCACTTTAAAAAAAAATTAAGTCATGCAGCCCCTAGTCAACAATGAACAGACCTGTCAGCATTGTAAGTTTTTCTTCTCTAATGTCTAATAATATTCACCCTCTGTATGCTCCATTCAAATCCTTTCCTAAATCAATCAATCAGATTTTATTTATAAAGCGCTTTTCAAGCAAAGTGCGACTTAAAGTGCTTTACAAAATTAAAATGACACCAAATTCCCATAACAGTTTGAAAACATTAACAGACATATGCAGAGGGCCCCTACAGGGAAAACACTGGATTAAAATGAGTAAAAATATGAAAATAAAAGAACTAATATAAATCACCAAAGTAAGAAAATAAATAATTAATAAAATCATATGGACATAAAATAATATTATTAAATAATGAAACTGCTAAAATATAGTCATATAAAACGTGAAATAAAACTATAGTAAATTCTCTGCAGCCCTGAGGTCTTTCAGCAGCTCATTCCAGAGGCGAGGGCCATAACACTGGAAGGACGCCTCGCCATGAGTGTGTGTCCTGACTTTAGGGATGACCAGGAGACGCCCGCCAGAGGAGCGCAGAGGACGTGGGTTCATATGGTAAAAACAGTTCTGAGAGATAAGATGGCCCAAGACCATTAAGACACTTAAAAACCACTAGAAGAACCATAAAATGGATCCTGAAACATACGGGGAGCCAAAGCTATGATTCTAAAACCTGTGTAATGTGCTCCCGCCTCCTGATCTTCATCAGGACACGTGCTTCCAAATTTTGTAGAAGTTGTAAACCTGAGATGCTCTTTTTGGGAAGACCAGAAAGCAGGGCATTGCAGCAGTCTATTCTACTGGTGACAAAAGCATGCATCAGCATCTCCGTATTGGCCCAAGAGAGAATAGGGCAGACTCTGGTGATGTTCTTTAGATGATAAAAACCTATTTTTGTGATGTTTTTAATGTGTAGGATAGAAGTCAGCTCAGAGTCAAAAATCACACCCAGGTTCGTCACTTGCACAGAAGGATTAAAAGACAAAGTGTCACGACGTGCGGGTGAGGTGAGCGGAGGTGAGGATCCAAACGCAGGTGAAGAAGGCAGGCAAGCAGACAGGAACGGTTTAACAAGGTTTTAATTAGGAACACTCTGGACATAGAAACAATGATCCGACGAGACAATAAGGACTGACAGGGTTTAAATACAGGAGGAGCTGGGACCTTGGGAGACGAGAGGCAGGTGGGAGCAATTAACATGGACACAGGACTGAACAGAATGGGGACACAAGACAGAGTGTGACACAAAGATTGTAATATCAGTAAAAGTTTCTCTCTGTGGGCCTCAGGACCAATGACTAAAACTTCTGTTTTGTCCTGGTTGAGCTGGAGAAAGTTATCTGCCATCCAGGAGTTGATGTTTAAAATGCAGTTAAAAAGTGCATCCATTGGCCGAGAGTCCAACTGTGTATCATCAGCATAACAGTGAAAATTGACTCCATTTCTCCTAATGACACTGCCAAGAGAGAGCATATAAAAGTTAAAAAGCACTGGGCCTAAAATTGAACCCTGGGGCACACCACATGCAATCCCATGGACCCTCGAGGAACAGGTATCTAAACTCACCATGAAAGTCCTGTCTGTGACGTAGGATGTGCACCATCTGTGAACAGCACCAGAGAGGCCGATCCGTTTTAAACGAGTTAAAAGAATAGTGTGGTCTAGTGTATCAAAGGCAGTGCTAAGATCCAGTAGAACCAACACAGTCACCTTCCGTTTATCATAATTTACTCTAAAATCATTTAAAATCTTCAAAAGGGCTGTCTCTGTGCTGTGGTTCACCCTAAACCCAGACTGAAATTTCTCTAGGACATTATGAGTGTTTATAAAATCATTTAGTTGATTTAAAAACAACTTTTCTAAAGTTTTGCTTAAAAATGGTAAGTTAGATATCGGTCGATAATTGTTTAAATCATTAAAATCTAAAATGCTTCATTTTTAACAGCGGCCTCACCAATGCCCTTTTAAAGGCAGCAGGAAAGACCACCGTCTGAAGGGAGCAATTCATCAGGGTTAAAATCTCATCACTAAACGATCCATAGAATTGTTTAAAAAACGAAGTTGGGATTGGGTCCAGAAAACGTGGTGGGTCTCACTGAGGAGAAAACTTTATCAAGAGTCTCAGCTTCTACCATGACAAAACTGTCCAGTGTTTCCTCTGGTATAAACACTTATTCAGATTCATCTAAAACTTTATTACTTAGGGAGGATAAAATATTCCTTCTGATGGTGTCTTGTCAGGGACTTGCATAAACCAGCCAGCAGAGCACGGAGGATTTTCTTGACATGTTAATTTATTACTATTTTTTCTTTTCTCCAAAGAGGGTTCCAGCCAGCAATTAACATTACATGACAATGGATGTAGAAACAAAGTAACCCAAACTCAGGATCTGACTACAGACATGTACAAAAAATAACTTCCTACAGACACAACAGGATCAACTTAAATAGTGGCTGATCAGACCACTGCCAACACAATAGGGTGGGGAGACATCAGTAAACAAAGAACATAAATAAACTACTCCTAACAAATTCATACTAATCAGTCCATTCTGTTTGAGTTACTTCAAATGAAAACATTACTATCAAAACTCCACTACTATTTACAAAAGAGAATAACTAAATACATAAACACAGGAATCTTCTCCCTTGAGTTGGTATGATCCAATGGTGCTGATTAGGCCAACTGATCTGCTACAGCTACTCCAACTCCAAGGCCACTGGCAACTCAAAGAAAACATATTAATCATACAAACCCCTACAGACTAAAACCGATGAGTAACTGAATGTGTGCACTTCATACAGTCACCCAAACAGTCAATCCATGGAAACAAACACCTTTGTTCAAAATAAAACATTAACAGTTATTTGCTTGAAGTGTGGCAGCAGGGCAGCTGTCACAGTCCCCCCTCCTTAAGAAGCTACCCCGCTCCAGCGGGAAAGATAATCAGCAGTCATATTAGCCTTGCCTGGGACATGCTGTACCAAAAAGCGAAAGGGTTGCAGTGCAAGGGCCCACCGAGTAACACGGCTGTTTGTGTCCCTCATACGATGCAGCCATTGCAGAGATTTATGGTCCGTCTGCAAGGTGAATTCTCTGCCAAGCAGGTAAAACTTCAAAGAGTCCAAGGCCCATTTAATGGCCAAGGCCTCCTTCTCCACCGTTGAATATTTCACCTCCCTAGGGAACAACTTACGGCTAATAAAAGCCACTGGATGCAGATTCTCACGACCTTGGAGGAGGACTGCACCAATACCTCTGTCAGAGGCATCCGTCTGCAAAACAAACGGTTCATCAAAGTCAGGACATTTGAGGACAGACTCCTTACCAAGAGCATGTTGCATGTCTCGATACGCTGCCATGGCCTTCTCTGTCCACTGGATGACATTGGGATACTTTGATCCCGTCATGTCCGTGAGTAGAGCAGCCCTAGATGAAAAGTGGGGAATAAATCGGTGGTAATAACCTGCCATCCCCAGAAATGACCTGAGTTGCTTCTTGGTTCTGGGTGTTTGACAGGACTCGAGAGCTTGTACTTTAGTGACTAGGGGCTTAACAACCCCATCACCTACTCGAAACCCCAGGTACTCTACCTCACGGCGGGCCAACACGCATTTGGAGGGGTTCACCGTGAGCCCAGCATCTCGGAGGCGACTCAGAATGGATTGTAGGTGCTTCATGTGATCCTCCCATGACCTACTGAAGATAACAATGTCATCTAAATAAGCACATGCATAGTCTTCACAACCTCTCAGAACCTCATCCATCAGCCGCTGAAATGTAGCAGGTGCCCCATGCAACCCAAACGGCAAAACTGCAAACTGAAACAGGCCCCATGGGGTCCGGAAGGCAGTGAATTCCCTTGACTCCTGGGAAAGTGGCACTTGCCAATAACCTTTACACAAGTCAAGGTACTCAGGAACATGGATTTTCCCAATCTGTTAATCACATCATCAATACGTGGTGTGGGGTAGGCATCAAACTTTGATACCGAATTCAGATACCTGAAGTCAATGCAAAAGCGTATTCCCCCCTCCTTCTTAGGGACCAAAACCACAGGATTACACCACTCACTCTTGGAGTCTTCAATAATACCAAGGGACTGCATCAGTTCCACTTCTGCCTTAAGGGAACCCAGGAGACGCTCAGGGATTCTATAGCTCATGCGTTTAGCAACTGCATCCCGTTTTAACACAATGTTGTGTTCAAGAATGTCTGTGCGCCCTGGATACTCAGCAAAAACTTGAGGGTGACACACCATTTTTATCTGGTTTTGCTGTTCCATGGTCAGGTGACTAAGATTACAAACTGTAGAGGATGGAGAGGGCATGTACTGGTCATCGACATCCTCCTCCTCTGCTACTGCTCGGATCAACATCACACCTGCTCCTGTTACAGAACGGGGTGTCCATTCCTTAAGCAGATTCACATGCAGCACTCTCTTCGAACGGGACCTACAAGGGTCACATACCTCGTACGTGGTAGGCCCAAGCCGTTTCACCACCTCATACGGCCCCTGCCATTTAGCCAGAAGCTTACTTTCACGGGTTGGCAACATGACTAGGACCTTCTGCCCTGGTAGAAAGTCCCTGTCCCGTGCAGACTTGTCATACCAACGCTTCTGGTACCTTTGGGCTTCAGCCAGATGCTGCTGAGCTAAAGTTGTCATTTTCAGTAACCTCTCTCTCATCTGCAAAACATAAGAGATCACATTAACAGGCCCCTCCCCTCTCTCCTCCCCAGTCCAGGTCTCTTTCAATAAAGCCAGAGGTCCCCGCACCTCATGCCCATACAAAAGTTCAAAAGGAGAGAAGCCTGTTGAGGCTTGGGGTACCTCCCTGTAGGCGAAGAGAAGGTAAGGCAACCATTGATCCCAGTCAGAACCAGTTTCATCAACGAACTTCCGCAGCATTTGTTTTAGAGTCTGGTTAAATCGTTCGGTTAAACCATCAGTCTGGGGATGATAAGGGGTAGTTCGGATCCCCTTGATCCCCAGTAGTTGGTACACCTGCTGCAATAAAGTAGACATGAAGTTAGTGCCCTGATCAGTCACAATTTCACGAGGGAAACCCACCCGTGAGAACAGCTGCACCAAGGAAAGAGCCACTGCTTTTGCTTTCATCGTCTTTAGAGGAAATACCTCAGGGTATCTGGTTGCATAGTCTGTAATTACCAACATATAGCGATAACCCGTCTTACTCTTCTCAAGGGGTCCCACCATATCCATTCCCAGACGCTCAAAAGGAGTGTTGATAAGAGGAAGTGGTTGCAATGGTACCTTTGGAGGGCATTGGTTGGATGCTAGTTGACACTCAGGACATGTTTTACAAAATTGGGCAACATCGGACCTCAGACCAGGCCAGTAGAAATGGCGTTTAATACGGGCCCATGTCTTCTGCTTCCCCAGGTGGCCAGCCCAAGGAATAGCATGACCCAATTCCAGCACCATCTCTCGTGCCTCTCGTGGGACCACCAGCTGCCTCTGTACTGCTTGTTGCCGATACAAAATGTCATCCTGTAAAACATACTCAGCACAGCCCTTGTGCTCACCACTCTCATCTCCCCTGGCCCTGTGAATGAGTTCAGATAGTTCAGGATCATCTTGCTGCATCTGGGCCATCCTTGAAGGCATTGTGAAACCCTGTGGTACCTCTATCAGGTCCTCCTTAGACATCCTCGCAGTATGTAGAAACTTCTCCCGCCTCCGCTGCTGACGGGACTTGCGTAGTTTCCCAGGCTGCACATCCAGCTCAGCGTCGAAGAAGGGCAGCGCACTAAGAGGCAGAAGTGTCTCCTCCTTCTGCCTCACCTGAGAGCGTGTAACCACAGCACAGTTCAATGGAGCCTGAATCAAGTCAAACAGGATTGGTAAGTCACTACCCAACACCACTGGAAAAGGAAGGCTGTTTAACACTCCAACTCTCAGCAAATGAACTTGTCCTTGAACTTTGATATACAGGTCGGCAGTAGGATACCTCCGCTTATCACCGTGCACACATTGGATAGGAATGGTGTCTAACACATTAACAAGGGAATGTGGGACCAGGGTTCTTTCCACTAGTGTCTGAACACTACCGGTGTCAATCAAAGCTTCCACACTCCTCCCATTTACTTCCACTTTGGTAACTTGTAATGGTAGAGCACCCTTTAGGTTTTCCTTTCCTTCTGCTGGAACAACACACAGTTGAGTGGTTTTAGCAGTGTTCTTGGGGCACATAGGTTTAGTATGACCTGGCAGTCCGCACAAATAGCAGATAGGTTCTTTATATTGTTTAGGAAACACCCCATCTGGGCGAAGGTCCCTCGAGGGACCCTTACCTGCCGTAGCCATTTCTGATTGGAATTGAGGTTGTCCATATGGGGTTCTCCGATTATCCTTCTCTTTGGAAGTCTTCCAAGCAGTGTAACTCCAGGGTTGTCCTTTTCGTCTTGCTGCGACAAACACCTCTGCTAATGAAGCAGCCTTGGACGCAGATGGAAGGTCATGTTCCCGAACCCAAACCTGAAGCTCAGGGGACAGCATATGAAGAAACTGCTCTAAAACAATCATTTCGCCAAGTCTTTAACAGTTTTACCTTGGGGGTGGATCCATTTGTCGTAGAGCTCTTTTAGCCTGACATATAGCTCTTTAGGAGTCTCACCCGCTTCAACCTCTGTCCAGCGGAATCTCTGTCGATAAGTCTCTGGGTTGATATCATATTTCCTGAGAATAGCTCCCTTAACAGACTCGTAATCACGTACCTCCTCAATGTCCATGTGCACATAAGCACTCCTGGCTTTCCCAGTGAGTAGTGGTACAAGGTGGAAAACCCAGTCAGCCATCGGCCAATTACAGTATGCGGCAATCCTCTCAAAAGTAATCAGGAAATGTTCAATGTCATCAGTGTCTGTTAACTTTTCCAGTCTAGGCTCTGAGAAGGAACGACACTGACCTGGAGAGCTGATGGTCTTGAGACCCTCGGCCACCTGTTCCTCGTCGCCTTGCTCCAGCTCCTCAGAATCAGATTTCCTGAGAGGGTGTGGCTGTAGCTCCTCTTGCAGATGCCGAAATTGTTGCTGAAGCTCCTGGAACCTCCGATCCTGACGTCGTGCCTCTTCCATCAACATGTGATTCTGGGCCGTCTGTTGGCTCATGTGTGCCTGAAGTATCCCAACAAGATCTGTTAACGTTGGCTCCCGGGATCCTTCCGCTTCCACAACTGCAGGGCCAGCAGCCCCCTCATCTTCAGAACCATCCGACTGCTTTTCCAGTCCAGCTGGCTCCAAAGGCTCCACAGGTCGTCTGCCCCTGCCTCGCTGCATGGTTTCTTCCCTGGGTCTCACTAATTCAACACGTACTCATGGCTAGCAAAATCCCACCTCTGCCACCACTTGTCAGGGACTTGCATAAACCAGCCAGCAGAGCACGGAGGATTTTCTTGACATGTTAATTTATTACTATTTTTTCTTTTCTCCAAAGAGGGTTCCAGCCAGCAATTAACATTACATGACAATGGATGTAGAAACAAAGTAACCCAAACTCAGGATCTGACTACAGACATGTACAAAAAATAACTTCCTACAGACACAACAGGATCAACTTAAATAGTGGCTGATCAGACCACTGCCAACACAATAGGGTGGGGAGACATCAGTAAACAAAGAACATAAATAAACTACTCCTAACAAATTCATACTAATCAGTCCATTCTGTTTGAGTTACTTCAAATGAAAACATTACTATCAAAACTCCACTACTATTTACAAAAGAGAATAACTAAATACATAAACACAGGAAACACAGGGCTGCAAACTCCTCACAGCGCATTTGAGGGGGTTTTCTGAAGTGAAATGGGTGTACGGCAGGGGTGTCAAACTCAAACTCACAGGGGGCCGAAATGAAACTCTGGGATGGAGTCGAGGGCCAAACTTCATATTTTTTGAAAAAGTGACGGCAAATTTGCACATTTTCTTTATCAACATTTATGCAATTTTGAACCTTTAAATTTGGAAACAAACTTATTTCTGCATTAACACTGAATGTGGAATAACCAAATTACACACAAGCAAGTCAGTTTTAAATAAAACGCATCAGTGGTATTCATTACTTGAGGTATAATCAGCATTTTTAAAATCTATTCAGGATTTATGTTTTCTTGTTTATTCATTTTTCTTATTTTTATTCACCTTGTTTTCTCCTGTAATAAGTGTCATCGCTGCTGTGACGTCTAGCTTTCCCCACTGAGGAACAATAAAGGGATTTTCTATTCTATTCATCTATCTGCAGCCTTTCCACTTCCTGTTTACTGTAGGTTAAATCTTTTCTCACGGGCCAACAACAAAATAAAAATGTAATTTTATCTTAAATGAAAATGCAACATCTCACCTGTTAACTTTCATGTTTTGGAGCAGAAAAAGAGCATAAAACCAACATATTTAAAGCTCAGTTTGCTCCACTGGTTTACTGTGATGCTCACCTGTTCCAGCCAGATACCTGCATCATGGGGTTGATCTGAGCTGAGGAGGAGACTCCTGTTGTTTTGTTCATCTTCATCATAATAATGACAACATTAGATGACAACAGGTGCTCACATAGGTTTGTGCTGATGAACATGTCTGAGCAGCTTGACCACGTTGTTGTGTGTCGGGGAGGAAACATAACAACGACAGCAACCACAGAGCTGTGCTGGTTTCAGCGTGTCGCTGCTCGCTGGAGTTATATCAGCTCTGTCTGGACGTTAGTTGGAAAACTTTCTCTTTCAGGCGTGAACACATTACTGAGCGGCTAGAATCTCGGTTTCTGGGCTTCAACGTCAGAAAGCAGCTGAGTAAACTCGGCGCTGAGTGAGAGGAGTGTTTAGTTTGTCCGAGACAGCGGAGCTGCTGACACCGGCAGCAGGCGCTGAAAAAACACAAAGGAGAGGGCGCGCCGGCTCCGCCCTGACGCCACAAAGCATCATGGGAGTTGAAGTCTTTGCAGTGAAATCGGCCAGCGGGCCAGTTTTAATATATTTTTGATATTTATCTCGCGGGCCACATAAAAATGCGGCCCGCGGGCCTTGACTCTGACATATGTGGTGTACGGTTTAAAATGTTGTTTATGGTAGAAAAAAGTATTCTGGGATTGTGTTTGTTGTCTAGAATGAGTTTGGAAAGGTATGAATTTCTTGAATTTATCACTGCGTTATTATATGATTTAAGTGGCTCATATGTTTGATGATTTATACTTATTCTTTCTCCATCTCCGCTCTGCGACCCTGCAGTTTCTCCTTAATTTCTTACGTGCGACAGGAACAATTGTCCATGCTTGACTGGATAAAATCTGCTCTCGGGTCTTTCTAAACACGCACAAGGTGCTTTTTCGCTCTCGCGGATAGTTTAAAACATGCACGGAGGGCGTTTTTAGCGCTAGTGGACGGGATCTTATCCTCTCATGGATGTTGAATTATCTTCTCATGATTGTGCATGTTCTTGCGAGACCTTATTGACATTTAACTGACTCCATAGCTGGCTACACAGAGCATCCAGCAATGTCTCTGTCCTGTGCAGTTTTGGTTTGCTTGTAGCACCCTCTAGTGTCTGTTTGTAGAACCAAATGACAAACAAAGTTGACTATGACTGAGCAAGTCCTGGAGAGGGAGCAGATAATGGAGAAACAGTCTGTACCGATTGTAAAACCAGTCCATACAGCTAACCCGGACTGTGCCATTTATGGGCCACCTTTGTTGTATGTCCATAGGACAATGGAGCCGTATGGCTAGGGCAGAGCGGCGGCATCAAAACATCACTACTTGCAACAAGCAAAACAAGTCCCGGAGTTTCATTGTTATCACATACCAGTCCATACCAGCCAACAATGTCCCATCCCAAAATCCCTGCAATGGGACCCAGCTATTACTCCATTTTCAGACCCAGTTTTTTGTGTAAGCTTTAAAAATGTGGCTCCCGTCTTAGTAACTGACCTGATCCAAACCTTCCCACAGCAGGATGCTTTTAAACATTTTCATCAGTCGCAATTTTCTCTTTCTGTCAGAGCGGTGGTGAAACTTCAGCGGGAGGTGATGTCTGCAGAGACTGCCTTGGAGCAGAAACGCTTGGCTAGACACAACCTGTTGCTGGCCTGCAAAATCCATGACCTGCCAGTGATTCTGCTGTCGGGCAGCCTGAATGAAATCAGCGAGGTCCAAGTAAGTCGCCCCACCAGGGGGAAGCGCCAGACAGAATAATCATTTAATGATGGTTAATTTGTCTGGTTTTTGCAGCTGGTCACAGATTCCGAAAGTACTTTAGCCACTATGGACATCTATGAGAGAGAGGCACAGCTTATTATTGACTACTCGGAGTTGGATGAAGATCTGATGGTGAGACTTCAGCCTCAGCACTGGAATTATTTAATTATTTCGTTTGCATCAATAAAAATGTATGTTGGAAGAATCTGCAGACAGCTGAGGAGATAGAAGCCTACATGGAGAAGCTAAAGGAGTCCCTCTCCTCTCTGGAAGTGGTTCTGCACCGCACCACTGCACCCAACCTGAAAGCTCTGGAGAAGATGAATGAGGTTAAGGACAAGTTACAGGGAGTGACTGAAGGTATTTTCCTCAATCTAATGCGTTTTTTATGTTTTAATGATAGCCTTTGTAGGTTAACAAACACTCTGTTGAGAAAATGAGAGGGGCGAGCATTGAATCTGGTAATACTGTACAATATATATCACAAAACAGGAGACAATATGATTTATACGATAGACACTGTTTGCTGTTTTGTTAAACTCAGGCCAGATGCTTACAGAATTATTGTGAGATCTTGTTCTGTCAGAAAAAAAGATGGTAAAAACTACTGCCACCTAGCAGTCAGAGTTTGAGTTGCACCACACAAAATAAATACAGTACGTTTTTGCATGTAAATCCTCAGTGAGTATTCCAACACAGGGCTTATAAATATTGATTCAGCATTAGGGTTGTCACAGTAACCGGTGTACCGGTAAATCCCGGTAAAAAAAAAGTTGTTAAAAAACCGTCTTGTTTTTTAAAAAATATATTATCTCAGTGGATTACCGTGGCTGCGGTGTAGGCGCAGTGACCCTTACCAGCCACCGTATCATCTGCTGAAGTTGCCGGTGGCACATGCGCACTTTGTTGTTTACAACCAAAACTTTCTTGAAGCTAAAGCTGAAATAATGGCCCAAGGAGGAGACGGCAGCGCGCAGGACATTTATTATCCCTAAAAGAAGACAAAGTCGGAAGAACTGGCATTTTGTGGATATTTGAAGAATGCCGAGGGACGGTTAATAGAAGACGGCTATTTTTTGATTAACTTGACCTGCTGAGTGGACGCTGGCATGTTTGGCTGCCGCTGCTCTCTGGTCTTTCCTATCCACTTTTAAGTTAGACGGTTTTTACCTGATTTTATTTTTATCTGTTTTTATTTTTTTATCTATTTTTAATCTCTTATCTGGATGTCTGTATTTTTCTTTAATTAACTGTGTGTACCAGAGGCCTCTTGGTCCCTGTACCACCTGGACAACGCCCTACCTACCTCATCCTCACCTTGCCATATATCTACTCTCGGCTAAGATGCTTACTAGCTGCAGACTGTTTGGCTGGTTTGTTCTCACCTGGGCTGTCATCTCCATTTTCCTTCATCCATCATCGGCACTGATCCAGTATCTGTCATCTGAGCTTCTCCGGCTCCGCGCTCACCTGGCGGTCCCCCCACCTGCGGCTCTCCTCTTGTTCCCGTACATCGCTCTCAAACCCCGTAGCGAATATGTCCATCGTGGGTCCCGGCGCAACTTTATCCATGATGACACCCACTCAATACGATCCATCTGGTCCACTTCCCGTCGCCCTTCACGCAACTCCATTTCTGGTAACTCCGAGGCTGTACATCGCAACTTGTTAACCCCTCTCGCTAGCCCGGCTGACCCCATACCAAAGCTTGCTAACTCCACCATTAACTTTGGCCTACTAAATATCCGCTCGCTCACGGGCAAAGGTCTTCTCATCCACGATCTCATCCGCAATCATAACCTGGACATTTTCTGTCTGACTGAAACGTGGCAGCAGCCTAATGACTTTATTAATCTTAACGAATCTACTCCCTCCGACTTTGTTTACATCTCGCAGCCTCGCTCCACTTGTAGGGGCGGGGGTCTCGCGATGATTCACCGCAAACAGCTGAAGATCCTCCCAGTGTCTGCTCCATGCTTCCAGTCATTTGAATACAGCGCCTCCCAGCTCTCTGGCCCCACCCCTACCATCATCTTCAGTGTCTACCGACCTCCTAAACCAAACAAGGACTTTATTGGTGATTTTTCTGCCCTCCTCACTCATCTATTCCTGCTCTCTCCCAATATCGTAATTCTTGGAGATTTCAACATTCACATTGATAATGGAAATATCCCCCTGACCAGAGACTTCCTTTCCGTCCTGGATAATTTTGATCTCCGACAGTACATCAGCTTTCCCACCCACTGTAAAGGTCACATTTTGGACTTGGCCTGCTGCTCTGGGGTGACCCCCTCTGGTTTGAGAGCAGAGTTATTCCCCCTCTCTGACCATAAACTCATCTCCTTCACTGTAAACCTACCCATGGACAAAATCTCCACTGCTAGGACTATCACCTTCAGGAACATCAAGGACATTAACACTGATTCTTTCTCCGCTGCTATCCAGGACCTTCCTCAGCCGTATGACCCCATGTCTCCTGATGGCCTGGTTTCCCATTACAACCACTACCTCTCTGACCTTTTGAATTCAACTGCTCCTGAAAAACACCGTACTGTCTCCTTTTCCCACTCAGCCCCATGGTTCACTCCTGCTCTTCGCCAACTAAAAGTAAAAGGACGACAACTTGAGTGCCTCTACAAAAAAACTGGTCTCTCGGTTCATGAAGAAATGTATAAAAATCACATCCTTTTCTACAAACAATCTATCAGCGCTACTAAAAGCTCCTATTATTCTGCTCTAATCTGTTCAAACTCAAATCCTAGGTCTCTTTTTTTCTCTTCTCAACAATGTTACCCGCCCCCCAGACTCACTTCCTTCTTTCCTTTACTCTGACGACTTCTGTAATTCAATTTCGTCTTTTTTCGATCAAAAAATCTCCACTATCCACCAACAGCTGGACACCAAACAATCTACTTCCTTTCCAATAGAACTCCATCTTTCCTCTCTGCCTCCCATTTATCCTCTTTCAGCTTTTTCGATTCCCTCCATCACTGAAATTTCTGACCTGATTCACAAGTCTAAACCCTCCTCCTGCAGACTTGACCCTCTTCCCACTTCTCTCGTCAAAGCCTGTCTCCCTTCCTTATTCCATTTAATCTCATCTATAATCTATTCTTCTCTCACAACTGGTTCTGTTCTCTCAGCATTCAAAACAACTTCTGTCACACCTATCCTAAAAAAGCCTGGCCCTGATCCCAATAACTTCAATAACCTTCGACCAATCTCTAATTTACCTTTCATCTCTAAAATCCTTGAGAAAGTTGTTGTTTCTCAGCTCATCTCCCACCTCAATCATAACAACCTTTTTGAACAGTTCCAGTCTGGTTTTCGCCCTCGACACAGCACAGAAACAGCTCTTGTTAAAATCACGAATGACCTTCTCATGGCAGCTGACTGGTTTTCTTTCTCTACTCATCCTTCTTGATCTTAGTGCAGCTTTCGACACCATCTCTCCCTCAACCCTTCTTAACCGGTTAGCTTCCCTTGGTATCACTCACACTGCTCTCGCCTGGTTCTCCTCCTGTCTCACTGGCCGATTTCAGTCTGTTCAATTAAAATCCTTTTCTTCTCAACCTGTTGCTGTTTCTGCCGGTGTCCCCCAGGGCTCTGTCCTTGGATCTCTCTTATTTATCATCTACATTCTTCCACTTGGCCATATCTTTCGCAAATACAAGATAAATTTCCACTTCTATGCAGATGACACCCAAATCTATATCTCCTCTCAACCCGATGCTATCTTCCCTCCAGTCTCCCTATCCAGCTGTCTCCTTGACATAAAATCATGGTTCTCTTCAAACTTCCTGAAACTCAACAGCAATAAAACCGAAATTCTACTCATTGGCAAACCCACCACGCTGAACATATCCCCCAGCATATCAATTAATATCGATAATTCCTCCATCCTTCCTTCCCCCCATGTAAAAAGTCTTGGAGTCATCCTCGACAGCACTTTCAAAGCCCACATCAATAACATCATTCGCTCAGCCTACTTTCATTTACGCAATATCAACCGACTCCGTCCCTCTCTCACTCCTCATGCTACAGCCATCCTCATACACAACCTAGTCACTTCTAGGACTGATTACTGTAACTCTCTCCTTTTTGGTCTCCCCCATAAATCCCTCCATCAGCTCCAACTCCTCCAAAATGCTGCTGCACGGATCATCACTCGTACCCCCTATAGAGATCACATCAGCCCTGTTCTTCAGCGTCTCCACTGGCTGCCTACTGAACACAGAATCTCATTCAAAATCCTGCTCCTCACCTACAAATGTATCCACTGTCTAGCCCCTTCTTACCTCTCCGATCTTATCCATGTTGCTGTCCCATCTCGCTCACTCAGGTCTTCCTCTGCCATTCACCTTGTGGTTCCTCCCGCTCATCTCACCACCGTTGGAAACAGAGCTTTCAGTCGCTCTGCTCCTCAGCTCTGGAACTCACTTCCTCCTGACATCCGTAACACTGACTCCCTCCTCTCGTTCAAATCCAAACTCAAAACTCACCTGTTCAACCTGGCTTACACTCTCTAGCCCACAAACTCTTTACTCTGACATTTATAGCATACTTTTAGTAATTTTATTGTTTAAATTATCTTATTCTTATTTGTGTGTAAGTTTTATCATGTTTTGTGAGGTGACCTTGGGTTTTGAAAGGCGCCTATAAATTAAATGCATTATTATTATTATTATTATCTTGTTTGCAGCACGTGCAGAAAAAGTGTCTGTGAAAGGCAGCAACGCTTTAAATCTCATGACACATCTGCGTGACCATCACCCACAACTCTACAGTCAACGCAAGGCAAGCTAACGTTAGCGTTTTAGCTAAAATGCGTGATCCAAGGATTTGGGTTGAGGGACAGTGCAACGAGTCGCTATATAAAGCAGCCGCAGCGCCGCTACCTGCATATAAACCGTGTCGCGGACACCCCCATGTTGAAATGACGCTATGCATTACGGGGCTCCCAGGGGCAGATAAGAGTTGGTCTCTCTCCGAGAATAATTATGAATTTAACAATGATTACTGCCTGATGACATTTTCCCACATCTGCAAAGCTCACTGGAAGGACACAAACCGAGGACAATATTTTCCTGATATACAGGGTTTATTTAGTTGTCTGAAAATGTAAGACGTTTAAAAAAAATACCGCGATAATACTGAAAACCGTGATAATTTTGGTCTCAATAACCGTGAGGTTATATTTTCACACTGTGACAACCCTATTCTGCATCATAACATGTAGGGCATAGGGCTGCAGCTATCAAATATTTTAGTATTTGTATGAATCGAATATTCTATTTGTTGACGTTTCAAGTGAAACGAGATTATAGTCTGCGGCTAAAAATAAGGAAATAAAACAACAAAATTATAAAAGGCTAACATGTATTAAATTAGTGCCTAGTCCCCATCTGATATTTATAGTTAATAAATGTTTAATGGAAAAATGTGACCTAGTTTAATTAACATTTGTGTTAATATCACTCATCTTAGTCTAAATAAGATATCTAAATATATCCACATATAATTAATTTACCGTATTTTCTGGACTATAAGTCGCACTTTTTTTCTTAGTCCGGCTTATATACCAAATTATGTATACCGTGCTGCTGCGGGCCGGCTCCAGCCCAGGAATGAGCTTCCCTGTCCTGCTGGGAGGGTTTCAAACACCGCCATCACCTGCTGCAGCCTGTGGCGGGGCACTGCGATCCGGTTCCGGCCCAAGAATGAGCTCTCCCCGCCTGCTGGGAGGGTTTGAAACACCGCCTCTGCTGGAGACCATGGCGCGCTGCTGCGCATGCTGCTGATGCAACAGCTGGTTGTTTATTCTGTTATTGTTACGGGGTACTTGTCTTGCAATGTGAAATGCTTGGTCTCCGATTTTGTAAGAAAAATAATAAAATTTCCCCCCAAAATGCGACTTACATATGTTGTTTTCTTCTTCATTATACATTTTATGGCTGGTGCGACTTAGTATTAAATTTCTTTGTATGAGTGTATGTACGTGAAGCAACTGGGCTGATGGATGTCCTTTTTAATCTTAGCTTTTGATGCCAGCACTACAACAACCAGAAGGTGCAACCAGGAGTTTGAACAAGTCAAGGCTCAGCGCTTCCACCTCTTCAGTTGCTGCTTTGAACATGTGTCTGTTGTTATCGATCAGATCTATAAAAAAATCTGCAGAAACAGCAGTGCCCAGGTAAGAAAACCAGTATCTATCTAAAACAACCTTTTCTGTATTGTATTTTATTTATTCATTTTGGATTCACTTTTTATAGGGCTGCACGTGATTGTAGTCATCTCAGAAACGTAAATGTATGTGGTGTTTGTTAGAGACTGACACTTTTTTGGGATCCCAGTGGGTCACGTGACTCTTGCAGGATTCCCATGAAATGGGACTCAAGTTATTTATAATCACATTACTGGGACAAAATTGGAAAAATAATCAATGGGAGTGGGCAAGAGTGGGAATAAAAATTCATTTAGATTTCTGTTCAATATGAAACTCTTGTCTTTTAAATTCATGTGCAGTTTTAATTTACATTTAGTTTTGTCTGACCTTTCTGACTACAGTGATTGTGAAAACACGTAGGACATTACTGATGTGTTCAGATCATCCGACATTATGACTGACTACCATCTTCTCTCAACTTTCCCAAGAAAAAATAATCTTCTTGAAAACCATAAAATGATGACTATTTGATAATTTGCCCTGATTCTGTGGCACAGACATTTTTTTCCCAATAACCCCATCAGAGATCGTCTCTGGTCTCTGCAGCAGCTGCCTGCAGGAGCGCATTTTCCGAGCCTTTTAATTGATTGGCACACCGGAAGCTTTCAGCAGCGGCATTAAAAACGTGAAGTCATTTCTTATTACTGTGATATTTGTGCCAGACGGAATTACATTTTGTCCTTAGGAGTGCTTTAATTAGAGTAACTTAACGAGCAGCTGAGATAACTTTCAGTTTCAGCACAGCGTCTCTTAAAGGAACATTAACATTAGGCTACATCACTCATAATCAGGGTTCGAATTACAGGGAAGCTAAAGGAAACCTGGCTCACCCGAAAGGGTGATGGGCTCCCCTGGAGGCCTTCAACTCACACACCCGGGGGAGCCCAAAAACAGATCCCAGTTCTACTTATATTACATTATTTATGTGGACTCTTTGGGGCTTCTATTGAGCTGAAAGGACGCAGAGCGCTGGTCATTGTGCTCCATGCAGCTGCATCCAGTGCTTGGCCAGTAACGGTAGTAACACAGTGGTGGGCGACGGTGGCACAGGAGTTAAGTGCTCACCCTGTAATCTGAAGGATGCAGGTTTGAGCCCCGCTCAGTTTGTCGCTGTCATTTTGTCCTTGGGCAAGACACTTGGCCCCCCTTGCCTGCTGGTGGTGGTCGGAGGGACAGGCGGTGCCTGTGTACGGCAGACTCACCTCTGTCAGTGTGCCTCAGGACAGCTCCGGCTACAATGTAGCTCATCACCACCAGGGTTTGAATGTGTGTGTGAATGGGTGAATGACTGATTGTGTTGAAAAGTGCCTTGGGGGTCTCAGGACTCTAGAAGGCACTATATCAAATACAGGCTATTTACCATGTAACCTTCTCAAAGTGACGCCACCCCAAAAAATAATTAACACACGATTGTTTATGTCAGCTAATATCCTCTGGTGCTTTCTGCCTTTTATCTGTGCCTGATGCGCTTCACTGCTGCAAGCAGAGCGCATCACCTGTCTTGTGCTCATGTGTGCATGTGCCGCCGGCAACTTCAGCAAATGATACAGTGGCTGGTAAGGGTCACCGCGCCTACACCGCAACCACGGTAATCCACCGAGATAATATATTTTTTTAAAAACAAGACAGTTATTTTCGTTAACTTTTTTTACCGGGGTTTACCGCTACACTGGTTACCGTGGCAACCTTAGTCTATACTAAGTAATCTATGATGACTTTCACAATAAATTTCTAGAGGGATGTCATGTATATGTGGCGCGGATGCATAGTATTAGCCAGCAAGCCGTCCCGTCGTCTTTTGGAGGGCCTAAATTCAAAAATGACGTCCAATAATGAGTGATGGCTTTTAAATTTGATGGCCGTTTTCTGTGATATCAAATCTAGAATTTGCCTTTTGTGGAAGTAAAATAAAAATCTGATTAAATCACAAGTTATTTGGCAAATATGTTCAAATGGAAATATGCAGATTTATTGCGGGGAGTTAACCCAGCACACAAGGTTTGATTAACTGCAGCAAGCCTGGCTCATTAGAAAGGGTGATGGACTCCACTATTCCTCAACTTACACACCTGTTGGAAGCCCGGAATAATATAGTTTCTACCTACCGTATTTTCCGGAGTATAAGTCACTTCGGAGTATAAGTCGCACCAGCCATAAAATGTATAATGAATAAGAAAAAAACATATATAAGTCGCACTGGACTAAAAGTCGCGTTTTGGGGTGAAATTTTTATTATTTTTCTTACAAAATCTGAGGCCAAGCATTTCACATTGTAAGACTAGGACCGGTAACAGTAACAGAATAAACAATCAGGGTGCCTCTCCAGCAGAGGATGGCGGTGTTTCAAACCCTCCCAGTGTGCAGGGAGAGCGCCCGCAGCACCCCGCCACAGGCTGCAGCAGGTGATGGCGGTGTTTGAAACCCTTCCAGCGGGGCAGAGGAACTGAAACCTGGACCGGAGCCGGCCCGCAGCAGCGCGCAACTGTCTCCAGCAGGTGATGGCGAGGCAGGGGAGCTCATTCCTGGTCCGGAGCTGGCCTGCAGCAACGCGGTATACGGAATTTGGTATATGTTTATGTTTATGTGCTTAGCAGACGCTTTTACCCAAAGCGACTTACAATTTTTTTTTAACCTATAGGGCATGTTGTGATCTGTGGGGGAAACCGGAGTACCCGGGGGAAACCCACGCATGCATGGGGAGAACACGCAACTCCACGCAGAAAGGCCACAGCCGAGTTTCGAACATGCGACCTTCGTGTTGCGAGGCAACAGTGCTAACCACTGCGTATATAAGTCCCAGGACCAGCCAGACTATGAAAAAAAGTGCAACTTATACAGTAGTCCGGAAAATACGGTATATTACATAAATTATTTGGACTCTCAGCACACCAGGGATTCATTTGAGCAGAGAGGACACAGAGTGCTGATTGTTGGTGCACTCCAGGCAGCTACGTCCGGCGCACAGCCACGGTAACATTCTCAAAGTGGCGCCATCAAAATAATATAATTAACACGCGATCGTTCATGTCTGCTCAAACTCATCACCTGGGGAACCTGGCGATGACACTGGGGAAACCGTGCAGCGCATACTCACGTAACTCACAAAACATACATGTTTTGCGGTCGGTAGATGCCTTAGTTTAAAAGTAACTTATGATGTGAAAAATTAGAAAGCAAGTTAGTTTTTCTGTAGGGCATTCTGGAGGCCAGAGCTAAATGCGTGTGTCTGCTCTGTCTTCTCAATCCCCAATGAGTCGTGGTGGATGGCTGCTACTGAGACAGGATCCTCTGGAGGTTTCTTCCTTTTAAAAGGAGTTTTCCTCTTCGCTGTCGTTAAATGCTTGCTTGGAATGAGGATTGCTGTAGGAACACTTGATTTGCAACTCAGAGCAGTGCAATCAAAATTATGATTAAAATTCTATTAATTGAACAGCCCTCGTGTATATATGCATATTTGTGTATTTTATTAGTGGTGGGACTTTAACACATGAATTATGTTTAATTAATTAGAAAAAAAAAACGCATTAAAATAAATTTTCATCAGGGGAGGGGTCCGGGAGGCATCCTAATCAGATGCCTGAGCCACCTCAACTGGCTACTCTCGATGTAGAGGAGCAACGGTTCTGAGCCCCTCTCAGATGACCGAGCTTCTTACCCTGTCTCTAAGGGAGAGCCCAGCCACCCTGTGGAGAAAACTCTTTTTGGCCACTTGTATTTGCAATCTTGTTCTTTCAATTACTACCCAAAGCTCTTGACCATAGGTGACGGTAGTGTAAAGAAAAATTGGTTGGTTTAAGGAGCAACTGTCTTTACTCAGTTTTATTGTTAAGAAGACTCAAAGGTTGTTTTCATCGATAAACTGACGATAATATCTGAGTGTCTGTGTTTCAGTTCAATGAGGAAACCCGTTTGACAATTAAAAGTTTTAATTCTTCAAATTAAACTAATGATTTTGAAATTGACAAACAGGAAATAACAATCAACATTGGCAACTTTGTGGGACAATCTTTAACAGTTGATATGCTGTTCTTGCTCAAATAGACCTTCTGGTGAATTTATGAAGATTGAGAATGTTGTGAGTTGTGAGAGTGATATGATGTGATTATGGATGCGTGTGGGTGCAAAGTGTGGTGAGATGAGGTGAGATGGATGCGTGTGTGAGTCTGAATTTGCTTCAGGAAGAAACAGGCGTCTGTGTGAAAAGTGATGGTTTGAATAAACTTAGGTTTAGTTGGAAAAGATGCATCAAAACGCTATCTGTCGTGTTTTGCCTCACCGAAAATCGGACCCTCTGTTGGACCCGGGACGTCACCTTAGGATGATGTTTCATCCAGGGCACCTTGGCTGGCAAAGAAGACAAAGATGCGCCGCGAACCGGTCCAGAGTTGCCCTCGGTACACGTTGATGGTAAAGCGTTTTGTCGATGCGCTTTCTTAAGTTAATTCACTCAGAAATCAAAAGACTCGGTAATGAGTCTGCGTTAGAAGTTGCGATTCAGCTATTCTGCCTGGCTTGGCAGGAACGGCGTGAGAAAGGGGGGGGGGGGGGGGGGGGGGGGGGGGGGGGAACGAGCCAACAGGCTCTGTCCCCCCTTTCAGGTTCTCTCTCTTTCGTTGTCAAGCACGAACTGCAATCCTAAGACTGAAACTTACCAAAAACCTTTCTCTTCTCAAAGCAAACGTGTGCGTCATCAAATGTGTCTGGAGTTTACTGTGGGAAGATGTGTGTGGGTGTGTGTGAATGTTTGTGTGTGAAGGTCAGCAACAAACATCCTCAACACTATCTAATTATGGATTCATTAAGCCATTATAATTACCCCAAAGCATAAGAACCATTCATTTGATTAAACACATTTATAATGAGCAAAATGATAATGGTTACTTTAACATTAAAATCAAGAAACAGAAGTTTAAACTTTATGTTTTGACTTGGTCTGGGTACAACTCATGGAAACACATCTTCTGGTA